AAAGGCGGATCATTAACTATAAAGTTTTACGAAATGGATCATTACCTTTTTCTACAGCGGCTTTACCGCTCTGCAGCTGATGGGCTCTTTCTCTTAAAGACAATGTGGTACAACCTGCACAAAAAATGGGACAGTTCTATATCTCCTAATATACTAGGCTGACTCACAGAATTTAATTTGCATCTTTCATCTCTCTAAAGCGCGAATTCGGATATGAATATTAAAAAGACATTGTTGTAAAATAAGCGTTTTAATACAAAATCGAGATTTTCTGAAAAAACCATAATAATTGTTTTCCATATTTCGATTCTACGAATCAAATTATGCAAAAGTTCCAAGTTTTGTAAAAATCGCAGGAAGAGTTTCTTAAAAATCAGCTCTCAAAGGTTTAGCTCCTCAATATTAATTGAATTTTGCATATATTTATTAATATCTCTTTTTTTTTTTTACTAAACTTACTTGATTCCCTCTTTCAGAGGCCGAAATTTAGGTTCAATCCAAATAAAATTCGTAGATATAATCTGGATTTAATTATTTTAAATTTGTATTTGTTTAGTTACTTTTACAAATTTTTCGAAAACGTTTTGAATTATAACCTATCAATTTATACCATCATATTAAAGTAGATTCATTTCTAGAAATATCAGGAAAAAGTTACAGTTTTGTATTAAAATTTTCACAAGATATATGTGATTTTTATACGGTGGCGCGTTCCGAAGTTTGGCATGGTTTTTATAAGCGATAACAACGCTAAATGTGGTTTACGCATTTTGTTAAAGGTTTTTGAAAGAAAAAACCATGCACCTTTTTTTCCGCTGTCGCACAATGAAAGGGAAGGGAAAACTGGAATTCAAAAGACACTGGTAAAGAATGCTTCTTCTTTAAGGTGCACAATTATCATGTTCATAATATATACTATACTAAATATATACATACCTTATGCTTTACTCATATCCGTTATTACCAATTAATTTTCAAGTGAAAGCAAAATTTATACTTCTGAAAGGACTTATTATTTGAAAAATATAACTAAAAATACAAGAGTAATAAAAAACATTCACTAATTGAAAGCAATTTATAAAAATCCCTATTTTCTAATTTTATTTATTTTTATGCATACTTTATTTTCCTCTGGTTTTAATGTTTATCTGGGGCCCAAAAGCGGCCCAGCGGTAAAGTTGCTGAACACTGGTAGTTCGGTCCGAGGTTCGAACGGGCTGGCTGCATGGGTGTTTTCGTGGTTTTCCCCATGTGTAACGTCTATACGAGCCAGTTTCCCTTAGAACGTCCTCCTTGAAAGCATCCCTCCCCTTAGGTAGATAGCCCTAGTGTGCTTTGCCATAATTAAATTGCAGTTAATTTTCATTAAGTACTATGCAAACATTTAGCATGTATATATATATACAGCAACCAAACATAAAAGGAAAAGAAAGCGAAAATATAAAGAAATTAAATTATAAACACAAAATCAACTATAAATAGTATCATGCTTAATATCTGGTATAAATTATTATATATTTCATACCTTTTAATATGCAGCCCTTTTCAAATGAAAAAGCAATGAAATCTGAGATTAATTGATATAGTGAATTCATGTTCATTTGCGAGTATAAGGGGTGCAAAAATTTCTATTCAAAGGAACAGAATACAGAACTTTTCATTTAAAATTGTCATCAAGGCACATACTAAATAATATTGGGAGTTTCAAGCAAATTAATGTAAATTTACTTTTAAAAATCAATTGTAAACTATAAATTAATGAATAGCTACTAACCATTTCTAGGCTACGATATCGTCAAGATGGTAAACCATTTCATATTTATTTATATATGAGGAAATTCAAGATAAACCATTTAAAAGCAAGTATTTAGAATGTCGGAAAAAAAAAACTGCGTACTACACTGAACTAATCATTAAAAAATATGATCTGAATGAAATCAAAAAATGAATTATTTTGCATTCTGAAGTATCCATTTCAGTTGAATCATCGCCGAACGCAAAACTTTGACTGCAAAGTAGAACGCTCTTTTACAAGCGTAAGCCATGCTTTGGTAATATTCAGATCTCCAAAATTGTCGGAAATAAAACCTAACAGCAGCGTTTTTCATCCGACTATCGTTATGCGTGTCCCCTAATGTTAATATCTCAACAGCTGTCGAATTGGAGATCGACGAAATTCAAAGTTCGGTACACTTATCTTTCAGCTGTAGAACAGCGTACTTGTCAGATGCAGAATACAGGTCTCGTGCCATGGGATACGAAAGCTCGTTTATGCATCCAGTATACATGAATAATACGAGCTGATCCAACACATTGCCATCGATATCAGGAATGGTTATTGCGTTATCTGTTGTTTTAGTCATAGAATGTTGGAACATACTTGAAAAATTTTAGACCTGGCTGAAAGAATGCATTTATGACCTCGAATCTTGCTGGAGCCACAGATTAGTGTGAAGTCGGATTGATGCCCATTTTCGTACATTGCATGCATATCTCGTGATAAACTGGATAAAGCAAGCACGTCTTTTCTATACGGTACACATTCGATACTTTCTTCATCTGAAGCATTTAATTCAGTAGTGTGAAAATGAATTTCTACGTAAGGATATTCGTTAGTCATAAGCGTAGTGTAAGATACTGGAAGACCAATTCTAATGCGTAAATGGCTTAGTTGGTCTGCAAAATTTATGACTTCTGATTTGGTAATTAGATGGCCTTTTAGAGTTACATTTGACCTACTCTTTTCTCTGTGTAGACATAAATTGTGAAAGCGCTCCGAAAAGGAAAGATTCTAGTCAGCTGAATGCCCGAATCTTCTAGATACCAGTCTTTCGTTGTTGAAAGAAGCGTCCCAGTGAAAATTCAAGTCATAACACCTCATACCTATTTGGCGTAACTTACGAGTCTCTGAAATGACATGTAATTTTCCCCAGATAATTTCGATATCGTCAACTTAATCCAAGACTGTCTCGCAGAAACATATTCTTACGATCAGGAAGTGTACATGGCAGCTATCAGCTTATAAGGATTGCGAAAATGAACAAATATATTCTTTGTATAGAAACGAAATCTCCCGGCTGAGGTTGCCGCAGATTTTTCAACAACTTATTTCAATGCCAACAGTACAGGGCATTAACGGAAACGTTTGTGTATATCAAATATCGCACGCATTATCTAAAGCATTTCGGCATTCCCATGGAAACGAATCTAATAAAACGAAATGAAACTCCAGTATCAGCGAGTGATAAACTAAAGTAGTGATGAAATACGTCGTATGTTAATAAATAACCCATAATACGTAATTAGATGAGAACATTTAAAGAATTTTATTGTCTTCTTTCTTTTGCGTACGTTTCGTGAAATTGTACACATTTTAGGCATCTACTGTTACAGTGGCAGAGTTTCCGTGAGTGCCCGTGCCCTTTGCACTCATGGCACTGCACGGGTCCGGTATCGATTTATAAGTTTCAAATGCAACTTTTAAACCTCTGATGCTTCCCACTCTGTAAATTGTTTTCCCTTTTACGGGTCTTTTTAAGTCAACTTGGAAAATCAGAACCTTTATTAAATTGCCATTTCTTACGGATGTAAGTTGCCTAACTTTTAAAGTAGGTATGTTTTTACTGATCCGTTCCTGTTGGATTAATTCCGGATTAGTGTTGTTACGTAGCTTTTTATTAACAACTTTTATGCGTTTCTCTGAGTTTGGCTTGAAGCTGTGAAATTGCATTCCTCTAATTAGGAGATATTAGTATTATTTACTTATATAGCTAGATTAAGACCTAATGAAAGCTTTGAATATATAGGAATCATTTTGCTAATGAATTTTCATTATTAATCTTAATACTTTTAATTATTGCAGCTTGCTCAAAAAGAGCACAATTCCCTTCGGCATAAGGTTCGAATCCCGCGATCGAGCTGGCTGTATGGGCGTTTTCGCGATTTTCCCATATGTAGCGTGTATATAAGCCAGTTTTCCTTAGAAAGTCCTCCACGAAGGCATCCCTCTCTTTAGGCAGATAGCTCTTCTGTGCTTTTCCATAACTGAATAATCCACTAATCCTTCTAAAAAAGTTAATTTTTTAAAGTAATCATAAAATGAATAAGAAATGTTTTGTGATATATTAATGATTGACCTTGTTAATTAACGCTAAATTATAAAAGGTTTGTTAAAAATTTCCGCGACGTTCACTGCTTATATAACCAAGTTATTTGAAAGCTTTCAAAAACCTACAAGCCATTAAAGAGCATATTTTTCAGTGTTGCGTGTACAGTAAAGTATTTCAATAAAATTCATTACGCAGAGAAAAAAATATGTATTTGCGGTAAAGAATATTTAAGTCTATTTATTAATATAAGATACATATCCTCACTACTTCAGTTTATCACTCATACTGAAGTTTCTTTTCGTTTTACTAGATATGTTTCCATGGGTACGCTGAATAGCTTTGGATAAGACGTCTGATAAGTGATAAAAACAGGACTTTATGTTAATTTTGAAAGCAGTTGTTGAAGTGATATTAGTGTCGGGGATTTATGTTCAACAAAAAATATGTATTAGATTCATCGTCGCAGTTCTTATAGTATGGTTGCCCAGATCTACCGTTCCTCGTCACGTGAATTTATTTCTGCTAAAGAGACTTTGATTAAATTCACGAAATCGATTAATATAGGGAAAACCTATAGAGCATTTTAGAGTCTTCTAAGTTAAAAATTTGGCATGAGGCAATATCAATTAAATTTTACTTGGTTACCTGGCTGTGGCCGGTTCCCCGAGAAATCCAGTAGAAGGTTTGGGCCTTCAAATGAGTGGAATCTTTCCATTCGTCCAGATGTTTCAGAAAACACGGAAACGTTTATGTCTACAGAGACGAAATCCTGGGCTACCACTTAAGCTAAAAGGCCATCTAATAATAAATGCAGGACACACCATAAATTTTGAAGCTTCTATGGACAAGCTAAGCACTTTCATTTTCCTTCCAATTTTTTAGGACGCTTCATTTTGTTTACGCAGAAACCTTCTGTAAAAATTCATTTTGAGGTAACTGAAATGGAACCTTCTGATGAAAAAACGAATGTAAATGAAAAGGAAGTGCAAACTGATAGTGATTTCGATATTTTAAATGTAAAAGGCAAGCCCATAGCAACAATTGACACGAATTCTTTAACCAGCTTATCTCGGGATATGCAAACAATGTACGAAGAAAATCACCATTCAGACTTCACACTCATCTGTGGCTCAGAAAAATTTCACGTTCATAAGTGTGTTCTTTCGGCCAGATCTCCAGTTTTCGCAAGCATGTTGCAACATCCAATGAATGAGACAGCAGAGAACAGAATGATTATACCCGACATCGATGCCGTTGTGTTGAATCAGCTGGTATCATTCATGTATACCGGACTCATAAACGAGCTTTCTTATCCCATGGCACGAGACCTATATTCCGCATCCGACAAGTACGCTGTGTTGCAGCTGAAAGATAAGTGTAGCCAGTTTATAATTTCGTCTCTCTGCACTTCCACAGCTGTTGAGATATTAATTTTAGGGGACATGCATAACGATATTATGCTCAAAAATGCTGCCATTAGTTTTATTTCCGACAATTTTGAAGAGCTGAATACTACCGAAGCTTGGCTTACTCTTGTGAAAGAGCGTTCCCCTTTGGCAGTTGAAGTTTTGTCTTCGGCGATGACTCACCTGAAATCGAAACTTCAGAATAAAAAATAATTTATTATTCCTTTTAATTTATGATACATTACTTAATGATTAGTTCAGTGTAGCATGGAGTTTTTTTTTGGATATTAAATTCTTGCCTTTCAGTGGTTCAACTTGAATATTGTCATATATAAACAAATATGAAATGGTTTATCATTTTGACAATATTGTACCATAGAAATGGTTAGTAGCTATTCATTTATTTTAATGTAAATTTACAATTGATTTTTAAAAGTAAATTAATAATTTTTTTGCATGTTCCAATATTATTTAGTGTGTGCATTGATAAGTTATGAATGAAGATCTGGGTAAAGGGATAGAAGATATTTGCAAAGTTTTTATTCGAAAATCAAAATAAATTACTATGATATCAATTACTCTTACGGTTTACTCCACAATCATTTGGAAAGGGATGGCTGAATAATTATATTGATTTAGGTTTTTACGAAACCGTAATACATTATAGAAAATTTTAAGCATGATGATTCTATTAATGATTGATTTTGTATTTACATTTTATATCTTTTACAGTTTGGCTTTCTTTTCCGGTTATATTTGGTTACTGTATATGTATGTGTATATATATAATTTAAAGTTAAGTTGTAAGAACAAACGAAAAAAGACCTATATATGTACGCTAAATGTTTGGGTTATAAATACTTGTGCAAAATAGTCGTATTAGTGCACTATCATGTATATATTTTCTTAGTATAGTTAATATATATATATATATTATGAATAGAATAATTTTGCCCTTGAAAGCAGAGGAGATCGTTTACAATGGCTTTTGAAATCCTGCTGAACAAAACCATAACAAATATAAGGATGAATGTTGTTTCATTTCACTTTTTAAATTTTAAGTGCTTGACTTCTTGCAGTGACTTGATAAATGTTATAGCGTCTCTTACATATGTTACAGATATTTTAGTTTCTTGAAAATATTCAATAGCAGTGTTTCTGGAATAAGAAACTTTGTTGAAACATGTGGATGCAGAAATGAGTGCTTTTTACAAATACAATTATAACCTGAAAAATGTCATAAAATGTTCTTTGTAAAATTAATATCCTGACGATTCATTATTTTAACTCGAAGAATCTTCTTAAAACGACCTTCCCGGAAAATCCCTCTCTTTTCGTGTAGTGCCTAAGGTAATAAAATAAAAAAATAAGTGAAAATAAAAATCCCTCACTCAGCAGATTTAGAGTTCTTTGAAGTTTATTCTCTTTCTTGGAGCAAAATCTTACTTAAAAGCACCATTTTGATTGCATTTCAGCAATTCAGACAAATAATATTACAGGCAGTAAAATAATATTCAAAAAGCTTACATCTGCGTAAGTAAAAGGTCTATGTCTTTAAAAATGAATATATGTAAAAATCTATGCAGTAATAAATATTTTCCTTTATAAATAATTAAACTTGTATCATGTTCAGTCAATTATTCAAATAATAATAAATAATATTTAAATAAGCCTAAAACTTTACAATCAAATCAAAATTCTAGAGAGTAAGATTGAAAACATTTTTAAAAACGTAACTCTTTGGGTAAAGGTGGTTCATTACTATGTTAATAGAGTATCACAGTACATCACTAATATGGAATACAAATAATTCCCGAAGTAATATTTATCGTCTCTAATTAGTAAAGCTTTAGCAGTAATTCAATTGTATTACTGAAATCTGATTTTATAAATAAAATTCGAAATAATCTGTAGTTGCTTTCCGTATCTTAAAAGTTCCATTAGCATATTAGTATCTTAAAAGCTCCATTAGCAAAAGCTTATTTGCTAAAACTGAAAATATCTATAAACCAGAAAATCAATCACTAAGGATGTATCAGTAGTTACCAGCAATAAAACTATTATTATTAAATAATTCAGCAAAATAATCATTAATCGTTATTTTCAGTGAAACTTTTAGCATATACTTCAGTATAAACACATATAAACTAAATATCTGGCTTTTTTATGAGTTAAGTTTTAACACTTGTTGTTGATGCACTGTGTAAATTTGCATCGTAAAAAGTCAGATATCTATTAAGTCAGACATATGGAAAATCGATTACAAATCAATAATTAGCTATAATTTGCAAGGTTACGAGAATAATAATCATTTTCAAAGTTTTATTATTTAATTACTGACCGTTTTACTTCGTTGTGCGAAGTAAATAAGTATAGTAATCGCAAAACATAACGGGCATCGTATTTCAACGAAAATATCCATTTCGACCGCTTTCGAAACCATTTGAATGATGTTTTTGTGTGACATCTGTACGTACGGACTTAAATAAAAGACCGTTTTTGCCAAAAAAGATTGTAAAATGGATTCAGAATTGATTCAGAAGAGATTTCTTTCTTGATATCTGTACTTATGTACGTATGTATGTCTGCCGCATACCTCGCATTTTTCCTTGTTTCAAGATAAAAAGTCTGAAAACACACCAAATTTTTTATAATTGTACTTGGATCGAACATCGGCATCTGGAAACACAAATTTGGAATATGCTTATTTATATTTTTCATAATTTGTAAAATTTCAACGAATTTTTTAAAACTTTAACGGATTTTTTATTAACAAACTCAACAAATTTCAAAGTATTCCTTTAACATTAACATTGCGTGCATTTTCAAGCAAGGATATTCTTTGCGCGATGTTTCCTTACATTTCTTTCTGGTATTATGTTGGTCGCGTACCAACGCAGGCTTTATAATTTAACGGTATTTTGTGTCGAATGGCTTTGACTGTCTGTATCACTTTTGTAATCCCATTTTCAATCCCCCGTGAAAAACGCCCCTTTGGGCGTAGTTTAAAATCTGAAAGCTTATACAATTTTTAATTTTTTTAAAAAAATTTTAGTAGTTGAGCCACTCGGATTTCTAGAAGCAATATCATATTCTCCAACAGTCATTTGTAAAATGTATTTAGGTAATGAAACATGTTATTGCTAGGATTCTAGGATTCTAGGATTATATCTTATATTGCCTAATTAATATTTGTATATTTTAGTTTTCATAATGGAAATAACTTTATCGTAAAAAATCTCCACATTATGTTCAGTACACTGCACGTAAAATTATATTTCATTTGCTGATCATAAAAATTCATAAAACTTGAGTCTATTTGACTTAATTGTGTATCTTACATACCAAAACTGTTGACGATTTATATCGAGTTATATAATATGACTTCAGTGCGAAATATGCACTAACGTATAACATGCATAAAATCATTTTGTCACGGAATCAGCCCGAATATTGAAAATTATTAATGTGAATAAGGACAACATACAATATAATAAGGACTGCATGTAAAATGAATAAGACTATATACATCGCCTCACATATCCGCATTATCGCCACAACACTTATATGAAAATTAAGCATGTTGCAACAATAAAATGAAAAATCTGATGTGTACACCACGTGACTTCCTTGTACGGAATATTAAATTATACGCATTTTTTCTTGAATTTCATTTAAATTGATTGGATTGAATTAAATCTACTTCGTCGACAGCGCATAAACCACAGTAGAATAAATGCACTCTTTAAAATTCACTATATTTGTTTACTATAACGACACTCCGAATGCACAAAATGTATATCATTTGAAGAATTATTGTTGCCACATGTTCTATTCAAATACTATAATAAAGCTAAAACGATGTATGAAAGAAATTAAGCAAACAAAACAGAAAAGAAACAGTTTTTCACAGACGATTCAGTATTTCTCATTCAATTAATTCAGCTCTCACTTCGCGACAAGGCAAAAATACATAAAAACTCAAAATAGCTGCATTAAAAATTACGAAGTTAATCTTAAATACTTATTTCCTCGAAAAATTTCCAGAAAGGATTAAGCATGATTTAATTCGTAATAATAAATGAAGGCGTTATTTTTGTGTTGCGAAGCTTAGTCTCTCTAGATTGGCAACAAATCTACAATTCTGCTGTTTCAAATGTAAACAAATATGTCCGCCATGTTATTTAAAACTTAACCGCACTTAAGCAGCTTTTAAAAATTGTTGATAATTGTACAAAATATTGCTTCCAGAATTACGAAAGGCATAAAACCCCTTAACCGGAAAGATAAAAAAACAACATAATTCAATCATTTTTTAAAGCAAAAATGTACAATTTACAAACATATAAGAGTAAAGATACTGAGATCACTGAGCCGGGTAACAGAGTGGATATATATATAAATATATTTATATACGTTTGGTGCGGCCGATTGCAACCAAAATACGAGGTTCACATCTAAATGTTATAGCAGTTCTATATACAAAATTTCAACGTTCTGAGGCTACTCGTTTTTGAGTTATGCGAGATACGTACGTACGTACGTTCGTACAGACGCTACAAAAAATTGTCTTCAGAATTAATTTTAAAGCAGTTTTATAATTTTTTGGAAGAAAGGTGTCTTTTATTCTGTCCTTACGCACAGATATCACGCAAAAACATCGTTAAATTGCATTCGATAGCGGTCAAAATGGATATTTTCGTTGAAATATGTTGCCTGAAACTTTTCGCGATTACAATACTTCCTTTTTACTTCGTACAAGGAAGTAAAAAAAAAGAACAACAACGAGTTTGAGCAAACCATTTACTTAAAAAAAATCCTGTGATCCAATATATACAGCTATAAATGCATACTATGAATCACAGGCAACATACGAATTAAGCTTGAATATTAAAATGTGAAAAATGACTTCCTGCATAAGGTTATGAATTTACAAGATTTTCTCCCTTTTATTGCATGCAGATGCAATAATGAACATTGCAGAGATTTTTATGATGTGGAAAAGAGATAGTGAAGCCTTTTTCATTTTCCCTGTAAAATGTAAGGTGAAGGAAATGTTTTACCATGCGAGTGGTTGGTGTGGTAAAGGATTTATATAAGAAAATAGTATATTATTTGTTGACAGTGGTGTAGCTGGAAAAACATTATTCTACATTTACCTAACGTTACATCTCACGATCATTCAGCTATTTCATGGCATATATTTGTTAATTAATATGAACTGAGAAACTAAAACTACAGTTAATGACAGATAAATAAAATGCATAATATCTGTAAATTTACTAAAAACAAAATGATATTTTTGTTCGATTTTAAATGGAAATCAGTACGCCTTCTTTAAAAATACCTTTTTTTCAAAATATCTTACATACTTTTAGTTCAATGCGTAGCAGAGATAAATAGGTTCATTTTATTGAAAAAGAATTCTTTCTGATCAGTTTAATTAAAAAATGATTATGCAAGAAGCGAACTCGGTTATTAATTTTTATTTATGATTGAGACTCAAAATCACACGCTTATAAAATACTTAAAATGATTCCTACAATGTTTCAACAATAATGTTTTCTTATTCCAAACAACTGGTCATTTAAATACATAAAAATTGCACTAGAAACGTTTGATTCATTGAAAATAAAAGTCAGTGTACAATAAGTGACCAACCAGTGGCCTAGACGTAATGTCCCTCAACACTGGTATTTCGGTCTTGATGTTCGAATCGTGATAACGGGCTGGCTTCGTGGGCGTTTTTGTGGGTTTCCCCATGTGTAACTTGCTAATACGAGCCAGTTTTCCTTAGAAAGTCCCCACGAATGCATCCGTCCCTTCCGTGAAGTGCCTTAGGGCGGAAAACGTAAATAGTAACAAAGTGCAATATGTGCATTTTTTGTTCTTGAAATCACCCTACTCTAATGTCAGTCCGATAAAGATTTCATTTTATTAAATTTTAATTAAAAATTTTCATTGGCAAATAATAACTTAAATATTGTTAAAAATTCCGAGGACACAGAGTCGCGCCAAAATAAAATCTCACTCAAAATATTAATGTAATTTTCTTTAGATTTCTGGCATGTGGAAATTAAGATATTCTGAAAATTACGAAACACTTCAGCAAAAGCACGACTCTAAGAAATACAAGTTCGCTGAGCACTGATAGTTCGGTCTGAGGTTCGAATCCAGGGGAATGGGCTGGTTGCATGGGCGTTTTCGTCTTTTTTCCATGTTTAACGTGTATATGAACCAGATTTTCCCTTCAAAACATTATCCACGAAGGCGTCCTTCCCCTTAGGCAGGTAGCCCTTCAGTGCTTTGTTGTAATTAAATAAACCAACCAAGAAATGAAAGACGTCGGCCAGTACATCTTGTTCTAAATACTAATATAAGACGGATTGCTTTAAAAACATTCTTATTTAAGCCGCCTTTCCTAAGTGATAATCCCACAACAGTTAAGAAGCAACCATGATAAAGTAGCTACCAAACAACGGCTAGAATAACGTTTCATCCTAAACCAACTACTGATCACTTTCGGGGAACGCTGCTAAGAAATGATTCACTATGTGTTAAAAAAGAAAAAGAAAAAATTCACCTTTTTTCATATAAAGGAATAAAAAAAATTAAATTTTTTTCTAATGCAAAGCTAAGTTCAAAGCGACCATTTACAGTTCGAAATGATTTACCCTTCTATGAAGGTGGTCATCTTAGAAGGATTAGATTGGATACCAAAGTTTCATTCCTATTGCGGTCAGTTACAGAGGTTTTTTGATCTTAGAAAGCTGCTTTACTGTAGTTTATAGCCCACTAGCGGCCGAACGGTAAAGACGCTGAACACTGGTAGTTCGGTTCGAGGTTCGAATCCAGCGAACGGGCTGGCTGCATGGGCGTTTTCTTGGTTTTCTCCACGTGTAACGTGTATACG